GGTAATTATATATTATCGGGGCAGTGAAATTCGTCTAAGATAATAATGATGCAACCGGGATTACCTAAAAAATAATGATAATGTTTTCAAGTTTGTTCCCAGACTTTTTTTTAATAAGAAATAGAATGGTATTTCATTCAACATCATAAACAAATATAGAGTGTGTCATTTGGGTACACTAATGCTTTAGTGACCAAGAAATTGATTTGGAGTGAATTCGCACGATCTAACAAATTATAGTAAACCCATCTACGGCTACCATAAGCACAAATCTACAAAAAATGCACTAGTACAATTTGTCACATAACAATAGACGCAACAAACATATATTGGCAACCACATACACTAGCCCCATTGCAGAAAAATGAGGCCACATAAAGTCATCGCAATAGGGCGAGACTACATACGTCATTGTTGAAAGAAAAGACCATATAATATCACTCAAGGCAGAGACCACATCCAGCCATCGCATATGCGCAATCACAAACAAACTACATACTACTCCGAGAATGGAACCACTGGTCGATTCATTTCAGTGATAATGACACCCTAACCAAGACCACACATGCACCTTCACCACACTTGTAAACTTTGTTGCGTCCACAAGTCGGGGCATAGCCAGATTAGGTCGCATAAGACGGTAGAGTTGCCTGATATTGGTAGCACAAGGTTGTGGTGTCGTCAGATTTGAAAGCCTAAGGCGCCAAAGTCACCTCATTTGTTTGAACAAGAAAGCGACATTGCCAAATTTGAACACACTAGACAGCGCCACCGCCGAATCTAAAGCGTGTAAGGCAGAGCAACCACCAAATTGGTCGAGTAAAGCGTCAACGCCATGAAAACAAGCTAACAAAAGTGGGCCCAACCCATCAACAGTCGTGACACAGTGACACTTACACTAACCACAAATCTAGACCCAAATCAAGGAATAGACTTTAAGAGGGGCATAGCTTAGAGATGGGTGGAGGTTCAAATCCATGGGAGAGCTACTCACAAAATGGTGGGAGAGAAAAAAGGGGAAAGGAGAGGAGATGTTGTGCAAAACTAAGAAAGAGAGTAGGGTGGCGCATGGAAGGGGTGGCTTAGGGGCATTAGGTTAGCCAAATGTAACCCCTTCTTAGCCATTTTCTCGGAGTCCAGCTCATCAGATGCAATAATTGATTTAAATTCAACGATTTGATTTCAAAACATTCAATGATATAGCTAATTAAACTAACCAATAAATTTAAATTATAAACTTAAAATTAATAAATTATTGAGGAGGCTACGCTTGGCCATTCGGTTGAAGATGATATATAAGTATGGCATGGCACTGTTCATCTAAAAATAATTTTTCGAATGGCTATAATCCTAGATTGGATATATTTAGCCATTTCAGCTAGAGAGGGCCTAAGTGGAGTGGAGATAGCAGCGGGGTAGGAGGAGAGTGAGAAAGGGGCCAAGACATCTGTCTCACCCTCGTGTTCGCCTCACAAGAGTTGTTCGATTTTTCATGTTAGGCTCACCATGGAATTTAGTTAACAACTTTTTTACAACAAATGTCACATTGAATGTATCATGTCACTACAAAGACCAAAAAACGAATTTTGCCCTTAATTATATTAGTTTATCTTTTGACAAACATACGAATAATAATGCAACAGCCGGGAATACGGGCGTGGAAGACTTCTCATCCTACTAATATTGTGTTTGAGAGATTCCATTTCATGGTTTCCACCATAATTTATAAGATGGCAAACTGAAGTGGGAATTATTAAATAACAATTGCGACGACTAATTTAGTCCTCCCGAGAAAAAGACTATTTAATCTCACATTTAGACGACTAATTTAATCTCCCATTTCATCATACAAAGCATGTAATTATTACTCCGATAATATTTCGACCTTGCATACATTGCACGACTTATTTAGTCCTCCCGAGAAAAAAAAAATTTCAAGCATTCGAGATTGTGAGAATAGTCTTGAACTTTTCTCTCTCTGTAATAATAATAATTTACTTTTTTATAAAAATAATTAAACTAAAGATATTAACTAGTACTAAGCGTAGTCTAATGATATTTTTTTTGTACTCATAAATAAGATGTCTCAAGTTTATTTTACACGAATAACAATGTCGTTTAATATATATGTTGAGATTGATACTTAATTAGTTATGGCTACCTCATTGTATGGCCTAACCAATCTCTCTAAAAGTTAAGTATCATAGTATGAATAACTAAAAAATATAAATTCAAGATAGATTGCTTCACAAGTTATCTCGCCTAAATCGCGATTATGTTTCCATCTATTTTTCATTTCTGAAATTCATGAATGATACGTTGGTACAAGTATATAACACTTTTATCGAATTTATTTCGTCCCCCATATAAAATATTATTCAATATTTTCTTTCTCTAGTTTTTTTGTTAGTGAAAACTTCACCCCCTACATAAAATAACTCGGACAGAATATCATAGTATACCACAGTGCCTCTAAAATGATATATACGCTTACGTCCCACACGCAATGCGAATTATCTATCAACTTATAAACAACTTGGAGAATAATATTGGGAATATTAGTGATAAGACATAAGGTTCCTTTCAACATAAATTACAATATTATACTAACCCCCAAAATTTAGGGTCACCCAGACAAAACCATAAATTAAGTATAATTTTATACGTAATTAAGCACCCAATTTCGAGTAGAGTTAAAAACTAACGGAAAAAATCTTTGATTATTTTTCTTAATTATAATATTGTTTTTTTAATAGTACTATTTCTAGCCTCTTGTCACATACTCACGTGTATTTTTTATTTTTATTTTTGTTAAAGGATAATTTTATTAAAGTCTAATTAAAATTTTACATCTTCAACGAGAATGTTAAACAAAAATTCTGGACCGAAAGCATCTCAAAGGAAAGCACCTCGATGAGCAGGGCATTTCCACACTACTACAATATTAGCTTTAGGTGTCAGATGATCCAGGCGGTTAATAAGTCATTCTGACGGATAAAAGATATCCGACACAAAATTTATTTACTGTCGGATTAAAGTTACTTTCTGTCGGATATATCAGACATAAATTCCTGACGGATTTTTCCTGGCGGATTTAACCACCATAAAATTATTATAACCCTCGGTATTTTTGAATTCTTTTCTTTTTTAATATTTTTAACATATTCTGGCGGTTTTTAAGTTAATGGTGGCGGTTATAACCGACAGAAATTGACTATTTTATTATTTTAAAATGTTATATTGATTAAAAATAAATAAATAAATAAACAAATGGTTTAAATATTTTTTTTTTCACTCGCGGTCCCTTACCTAATCTCTGAATGTTTTTTTTTGCGACTTTTTACACATGCTATCTCGGAGTATATACAAACACATTTGACGGTTGGATCGTTGAAACTAGTTTCGTAAAATACATATCCTATCAAATTGATAGATTTAACAAACACTTAAGAGTTAATGTTATACTTCCATTAAGTATAAAAAATTATCCACTAGTGTAAATATTTAAATTGAAGATCGAATTTGTTCAATGCATTCTTATAGGGTCGATGAGTGTAGCTATAAAAAATCATCAAAATCGGAGCTAAAATAATCATTAAATTGTGATTTTTTTCGTTTATAACCGTTGAAAACTTTTGTTTTGTTACCTAATCTCTGAATGTTTGTTTTTTGTGATTTTTTAGGTATGCGATATCGGAGTATATAAAAACATATTTGACGGTTGGATCGTTGAAACTAGTTTCGTAGAATGTATATCCTATCAAATTGATAGATTTAACAAACACTAAGAGTTAATGTTATACTGTAAATTTTTTTGAATTGAAGATCGAATTTGTTCAATGCATTCTTATAGGGTCGAGGAGGGTAGCTGTAAAAAATCATCAAAATCGGAGCTAAAATAACCGTTAAATTATGATTTTTCGTTTATAACCGTCGAAAACTTTTGTTCCATTACCTAATCTCTGGACGTTTTTTTTTTGTGATTTTTTACGTATGTGATCTCGGAATGTGTACAAATAAGTTTGACGGTTGATCATTGAAAAAAGTTTCATACAATGTGTATCACATCAAAACGGTAGATTAAATAAACACTTAAGAGTTAATGTTATACTTCCATTAAGTATAAAGTAACATTTTGTGGTATCCAATAGTGTAAATATTTTAAATTGAAGATCAAATTTATTCATTGCATTCTTATAGGGTCGAGGAGTGTAGCAAAAAAAAATTGAGTGGCATTCTATTATTTATATAATTGATTTATTTTAGTAAGATAAGATTTCATTTTGTTGTTGTTGTATGGCAACAGTAGGGTGATTTCCAAACAGATTCCATAATAAATAAGGTTTTTTTATTTTATAAAGAACATGGCAAAATATAAAAAAAACATTTACAAGATACACACAATTAGTAAATAACAGCAAAATGTTCAATTTTTTTTGGAATATTTTAATTGGATTATCCAAATTAACAATGAACATGACAAAAAAAAAAGTTTACAAGATGTAGTTAATAGTTATCTATTAAACCAAACAATTATTTATTTTCGACAAAAAAAACCAATTATTTATTTAATTTTTAAAAACTTATTCTACTTAAATACATTTTTTTTATTTATTTATTAAACCAAACAATTATTATTTTATTTTTTAAAATAGTAACAAAATTTTGGGGGAAATTTAAAATTTTGGGAGGGAATTTTGGGGGGAATATTGCTGCCATTTTTTGTTTTGTCGGTTTAACCGACAGGAATGAAAATTTTCCGTCGGTTTATATTTTAAAAAATGTTTCTGTCGGTTTTAACCGACAGTAATGAAAATTTTTTTATACCCACATCCGGCCCCTTTTGGTTCATTTCTTTTTATACCCACATCTGCCCAATATCTTAAATCCCTTTCAATGTGCTCCCAAAATCCCCCACCACAAATCACAAACCCTAGAGCTACTGATCCCTAGTCCGGCCGTAGACTAACACACGCTCGCCGCTCCAATCCCTCTCAGAGATGTCGCACTTCGGTCGATCCGGACCTCCGGACATCAAAGACACCTACTTCTTCCTCGTCCTCAACATCACTTTCCGTAATTCCCCTTTTACCCTTCTCCTTCTTCTCCATCCCTTTGCTGAAAGCCCTAACTCTATTTGTTTGGTTAGTGTTTACCAGGAACCACCGCGGATGACCTCTTCCCGCTCTTCGACAAGTACGGCAAGGTCGTCGATGTCTTCATTCCCCGAGACCGGAGGACTGGTGATTCTCGCGGATTTGCTTTTGTCCGATATAAGTATAAGGACAAGGCGCATAAGGCAGTGGAGAAGCTCGATGGTTCCTCTCTCTCTCTCATAGGCCTCTTATGAGCTTAATTAGAAGATAGGGTTTTGTAATTAATTAATTGAATTTGATTTTAGGGAAAGTTGTTGATGGAAAAGAGATTATGGTTCAGTTTGCTTGATATTATGGGTATTGTGTATTTGGTATTTTCTCTCTTGATTTGAAGCTCTACCTCCATCACTTGCATTCTTTGCTTGATCTGAGGGAGGTAAAACTTGCTTTTTCTGGCTTCTGTCACCATCAAAAGATCTCTTTGCCCTTTTTGAGTCTCGCAATTTCATAGGTCTACCTTCATCTGTTCTTTGTTCAGAGTTATCTGCATCCCCTTTTGAATTTTCAAATCTGTCTTTCCTCTTACCAGTTCGAGTATTGTCCAAATTAAAGCTTCATTTTTTATATCTTTATCTTTACTTTCACTATCTGTAACACGTTCCTCTGACTCTGTGGACTTGACATCCTTGGAATTTTTACCGTGGGCATCTAGAGCGACAGTAGAAAAGCCGTCCTTCAGTGGTAAATCATATTCATCTCTGGCATGCACTATTTTAATTATGGTATCATCTTTAGTTGCTGAAACATCTGGTTCACTAGCACCAAGTCTTCTTTTACTCTGAACATGATCAATGTGTTTTGTTTTTCTTTCATGTGCTTCCTTTGCACTTCGAACATATTTCCTTGCATGCGGACTTGCATCTTTAACCTTTTGGACATGTTGTGGCTCCAATGAACGATTACCAGAATTTTGCTCGGAAGTTGTTTTGAACATGTCCTTGTACGGCCCCAATGCGGAGTGGATGTAAGTTGTTTGTTTGATATTATGGGTATTGTGTATTTGGTATTTTCTCTCTTGCTGTTGCTTCTTCTTCTTCTTCCCCCTCTTGCTTCATTTCTTCTGATATTTTCTCTCTCTCGCTCTCTTCAAAATCCCACAACAGGTTTCCAAGATCGAGCTCCGGCGAGGTTCCGAATGGTGATGCAGGGGATATGGAAAATGCCAAAATAATTTTTTTTTATTATTAACATATTTTCTGTCGGTTTTAGCCGACAAGAATGATTTTATTTATTTTTATAATAAATTATCTGTTGGTTTTATTCGACAGAATTACTGGCGGTTTTAGTATTTTCTGTCGGTTTTATCCGACAAGAATTCATTTATTTACTTATTATAAATAAAAATCCTGTCGGTTATAACCGACATGATTTCTGTCGGTTTTAGAGTATTTTCTGTCGGAAAATTCATTTCCTGACGCAGGCAATTCTGTCGCTTATTATATCCGTCACTGCATTCATTTTCTGTCGGATTTTTCTTAAAATCCGATAGTAATATACGTTTTTTTGTCGATTTTTGAACTGCCAATTATAGATAATTTTATAGTAGTGCCACTCCACTTAACAAACATAAACCTCACTTCTACTTTGAGACGCCAAACATCGAATGTCATGAAGAAAGCATTCCAAGCTAGCATCTATAGCCCACTCTCCGTTGAGCATTCGAATCAAAGACTGGGAATCAGACTCAATATCCACCATTGCATCAGACTCAATATCCACCATTGCATAGCCCATCTCTTTGCATGCCATCAACGCCACTCTAATCGCAGCAACCTTCACCATGGCCGCACGCTCATGAGTGTGACAATTTGCTATTTCATTTTTATTTTGTTTAAAAAAATTAATGTAGAATATGTGATTAAAAAAACTTGGTCACTTAGTCTTACGATCTAATGATATTCTTCTTCACTTGTAAGTAAAATGTCTTAGGTTCGATTCTCGTCAAAGGCGAATTTGAACCACATTATTGCTATTACATTGTGAGGCTAAGCCCACCCATTCTCCCTTAGTGTAAATAATATGTTTATTAAAAAAAGCGTGGAGATGGGGCATTTTTACTATTTTTCCCTTCTTAATTAAATTGTCTTTTGCAAGAGTTTCAAGAAGGGAAGGGCATTCTTGATATATTGAAAGCTTCACCATTTTAGAGCCCTGGCCTTATATATATTGTTATTTAACCTGTACGATTTATAGAAAAAAAAAAAGACTTATAATTCAATCGATTGAAAACATCTGGCTATAAGCCACTTAGTACTACGATATAACAGTATTCCTCTTCACTTGTTAATGAGAAATCTTAGATTTAATTTTCGTTAAAGATAAATTATTGTAGACAATATCATTTGTTAAAAAAATAAAAAATGGGGCCATACACATGAGTCCCAATTTATTTGAATATTTGTGTCTCATTGCGACCAAGTAATCTCCCACTTTTTCCTCCTAATATGAAGTTGTCGTTTAGTAATGTCAACGCAAACGCGTAAGGGTCAAATACGTGCCTTGGTATTATATATGAATCATGATGACTCCTTCCAGTTTCAAAAGTCATATCACACGTTCTCTAATTCTCATGAAACGGCGTCATACCTCCATCTCCCGCTTATATATACCCCCTCCCACTCTCCAGTCCCAACCATAACACCAACACAATCACAGTATCCCTCTCCCCTCCAAATCCCACGCACAAAAGCCACCAAATTTTCTCGAGAAACAAACAGACCCTAGACAGCTCACACCCACAATACAATCATTTACAGACTGACCACCAATTTTCTCGAGAAAATCTAATCCAGTCCAATCCAGGCCAATCGGATTATCAGAATTGAAAATGCCAATAAAAGGAATGAGGAGCTTGTGCTTACACTCCAAAACGCCGTCGTTGGCGGCCTACTCTTCTTCCCCTTCCAGACTATCGGCCTACTCTTCTTCCCCTTCTAGGCCTTCCGTTTCATTTCCAACCCGGCAGCGCTTTCCCGTGAAGAACTTCACGGACGCGATGATCCAGGAGATCATCGACAACGCCGCCGTATTGGTCATGAAGTGGAACCCAGACACCTCCACGTACGCCAAAGTCACTTCCTTATTCTACGAGAGCAAAAACGAAGCCCGGCAGTTTCTCCGCTGCGTGACGGACCTCCAGAGTGCCATGCACTACCTCGTCCAGGAGGACCCCACCTCAGAAAAACTCGTTCAGGCGCAGAGCCTCATGCAGGTGGCAATGAAGCGCCTCCAGAAAGAGTTCTACCAGATCCTCTCCATGAACCGGGAACACCTCGACCCAGAATCAGTCTCCACCCGGTCCAGGTCCTCTATCGCCTCGACCCGGTCCAGCATATCTGATGACGACGAAGACGGCTGCGCCACCACAGACGACGACGTAAAATTCGCCACAGACGCCATCCTCGAAGTCGAACAGGTCTCGGCGATCGCTATGAACGACTTGAAATTAATCGCCGAGTGCATGATCACATCGGGATATTCGAAGGAATGCGTCCACATCTACAAAATCATCAGAAAATCGATCATCGACGAGGGAATGTACAAGCTCGGAGTCGAGCGGTTCAGCTCGTCGCAGATTGGGAAGATGGACCGGGAGGTTCTTGATCTGAGAAACAAGAGCTGGTTGAACGCGGTGAAAATCTCGATCTCCACGCTCTTCAATGGCGAGCGAATCCTATGTGACCACGTGTTCGCATCCTCTGCCTCGATCCGCGAGTCCTGCTTCACGGACATTACTCGCGAGGCGGCGACTTTGCTCTTCGGCTTCCCGCAAGTTCTTGTGGTGGTGAAGAGCAAGAAGAACTTGCCGTCTCTCGACATCTTCCGCCTCCTCGACATGTACACTGTGATCTCCGAGAACTGGCCGGAGATCGAATCCATCTTCGGCTTTGAATCCACGGCTGCCGTCCGTTCTCAGGCGCTCAACTCGCTCATCAAACTCAGCGTATCGGTGCTATCTCTGCTCTCCGATTTCGAGTCCATGGTCCAGAAAGACTCGTCGAAATCCGTCCCCACCGGCGGCGGGATCCACGATCTGACTCTCAACGCGATGAATTACCTCTCGCTCCTCACAGATTACAGCAACGTCCTCGCTGACATTATTACCGACTGGCCTCCGCCGGCGAAATCATCCCATCCGGAATCATACTTCGACAGCCCCGTCTCCGACGAAGCTCCTGCACCGGCTATCTCCGCCCGCATGGCGTGGCTCGTCCTCGTCCTCCTCTGCAAGCTCAACGACAAGGCCAAGCACTACAAGGACGTCGCACTCTCGTACCTCTTCCTCGCCAACAATCTCCAGCACGTAATCTCGAAAGTCCGTACGTCGAATCTCCAGTACCTCCTTGGCGAGGACTGGATTTCGAAGCACGAGGCGAAAGTGCGGCAGTTCGCGGCGAACTACGAGAAATTGGCTTGGGAGAAAGTGTTATCTTCGCTGCCGGATAATCCGACGGCTCAGATTTCTCCCGAGGAAGCGAGATTGATCTTCCGCAATTTCAATTTCGCCTTTGACGAAGCCTATCGGAAACAAAGAACGAGTGTCGTACCCGACCCGAAACTCCGAGACGAGATTAAAGTTTCGGTAGGGCAAAAGCTCTTTGCCGTTTACCGGGAGTTTTACAAGGCGCACAGGATGACGGTCGGGGGCGGGAGAAGCGGGGCGCTTTATGCCAGAATTGCCCCTGAAGATGTTGGAAATCACTTATCCGACCTGTTTTTTCCGACGGATAGTTCTTCTTCGTCGTCGTCGTCGTCGTCTCATCGGCGGAGCCATTGAGACCTGAGAATTATAACCGGCGCTGATTTTTTTGTCTTTTATTTAATCGCCGGTTTTGTGGCGATTTTTCCAGAGGTATGTATTTTTTGTTTTCTTCTGTGTAAAGAGTAATACTATGAGTAATGTTCCATATTTTCATATCATCTTAGGTGATATTTGATGTGAACAACTAATCATTTGAATTAATCAGATTTTTAAATTTAGTTCATTATTTAATAAACTAATAATTAAGAAAATTTAGTTAATTAAATGATAATTGTAGTATACGATGAGTCTTTTTTCTTCATTTTCTTGGATTTTACAAATTTTTCAAATGATGTGGCTGTCCAGACATCAGATGTCACGTAAGTAGTATGAAAATGTGGTATAAAAACATAGTATGAATAGCATTACTCATACCATGTTTTTATACCACATTTATATACTAGCTTAGATACCATCTGATGATGTGGACAGCCACATCATTTGAATTAATCAGATTTTTAAATTTAGTTCATTATTTAATAAACTAATAACTAAGAAAAAACTAATTAATTAAATGATGATTGTGGTATATGAGGAGTCTTACTTCTTCATTTCCTTGGTTTCACAAATTTTTCAAATGATGTGGCTGTTCACATCAGATGCCACTTAAGGTGATATGAAAATGTGGTACAAAAATATGATATGAATATTAGGGCTGGGCACGGGCCGGGCCGGGCCCATTTTTGAAAGGACCGGACCGGACCCTGAATTAAAGGAGATGGGGTGGGCCGGGCCAGGCCGGGCATTACAATTCTGAAAATAGGAATCGGACCTTACCCAGCCCGATTGAAACGGGCCGGTTCGGTCCAGGTACACGGGTCCTTTTTTTTTTTGCTGTTTAAAAATGTTTGCTACACAGATTGCAGTTTGAAAAAACTGCACAGATTCCACTTCCAGTTTACAATTTACACAGATTCCAGTATGGAAAAAAATCACAGATTGCAGTTTGAAAAAAATTGCACATATTGCACAAATTGCAGTTTGAAAAAACTGCACAGATTCCAGTTTACACAGATTGCAGTTTCCACAGTTTGCACAGATTGCACAGATTCTAGTTTACACAGATTGCAATTTGCACAAAACAGATTGCAGTTTGTAGTGCACAGATTGCACAGATTGAAAAAAAAAAAGCACAGACTGCAGTATTGCACAGATTGCAATTGCACAAATTCAATACATCCAAAATAACATTGCATCGTCCAACATCTAAAGATTAAATCAACATACAAAACATTCGAAACCGAGAGTCCAAGACCACATCCATGGAGTGCCTACAAGGAAAAAAAGGAAAAACAAAATCAGTTAAGACAAAAAGGAAAACATAGTTTAACTTCTTAAATACAATCCTTGTGTTATAAACAGATCATCTTCATACATAAAAGAGCAGAAGAATGGTAAATAAAAAATCGTATGATGAACACTGCCAAAACCAAACTAACTACCCATAAGTAGCTTCGCCTAACCAAAGCATTTTGGTGCTGTCTTTTGGTAAATTTGCAAAACACTGCAAAAGATTTGCTAAATGTTTAGCTAAATCTAATTGGTTTTGTATAAAATCTCTTTCGTTAAAATTGTTTAACTAAATCAATCGGAACATAATGTTTAGTTAAAAATGTTGATCTCTCTCTCTCTCTCTCTCACACACACACACACACGCGTTTGATTTATAAACCATTTGATAAATTAACAAATTGCATACAGCTTATTAAGCTTTTGAGTCACTATCTTTGTAAACATAACAGTATTTAAAAGCAAGTAGTAGCAGTCTTTAAACAATTTTTGAGATACAGAAAGATCCGTATAATCCTCTTATCCAATGAGGGAGATGCCTTGGATGATCAATGCATCGGCAAGAACTTGGTTAGCGGCTTGAGATGGATGGACGCCATCCCAAAACACGAATTGAGTCGCGTTGGAACAAGTTTCGACTGAGTTTGGATTGCACAGCAGTGACGTTGTCTCTACGATTCCCGTATTGAGTCACTATCTTTGTAAACATAGCAGTATTTAAAAGAAACCTCTTCTTGCTTCGGCGAATCCTAACTTAAAATTAAAACCCCTAAAATCCCTACACCAGAAATTCACATTAATAATAAAACCTAATTCAAAATTACCTAAATTTTAGTAGCAGCAGGTGGTCGCGACGACGGAGGTAGTGTCATTGTGTTGGTCGCGACAATGCTGTGAGAGTCTGAGAGTTGGAGCTCGACGGTGGTGATGGGGTGAGTGATGGTGGTCATGACGGCGAAGTTGATGGTGTTGTTGTGTTGGTCCCGACGGCGGTGAGCACTAAGTGTGTGAGACTGAGAGAGTATGAGAGTTGAAGTCGAGGGAAGGAAGGGATAGGGAGAGGGAGTCGAGGGAGTCGAGGGAGTCGAGGGAGTCTGAGAATCTGAGAGACTGAAGTCTGAGAGGGTGCTTCTAGAACTCGAGAGGTGGAATTGGCTAAGGTTGAAAATAACGGTTGAGATTGAATGGAGAGATGTATCTTAAATCTCGTCCGTCCATTGTAACACACACGGGCCGGTCCGGGTACCTGCAGTTCCTATACTTTTGGAACCGGCTCGAATCGAATACTTCAATTACCCGACCCGTACCCGCCCCGACTCGTGGTTCCTGTACCCGTTTGCCCACCCCTAATGAATATCATTACTCCTGTGTAAAAGCGCGTGAGAACACGTCAGACAATTTGAATTAGTTAGTTTATGTTTTCACATGTTATTGAAAACTTTTTTGTACTCTTATAAAATCACCCCCTATATTTCTGTAAATTTAAAACAATGCCCAATATGTTCATATTCCTTTCACATCCATGCATTAGCTCTTTTTTATTCTGTTTCTAAAGAGATGATATTCTACATTTTTCGAATTCACAGTTATGTACTAGGCTAAAGCTAGGATTGTCCAAGTTCATAACTCATCTCTTACTCAATTTTTATAAGGGAAATTTTATTTGAACCCATATAACCTCTTTCTACACCCAACTTAAACTTTAAAAGTGAATTGTCTTTTTTACCCTATAACATAATTACCATTAAGTACAAGATAAAATAAACAATAAAACTAAAATTTATTAATAAACACACACACAATAATCAAACACTCCATAGTATTTATCCTACGTTCACCCTTCATCAAACTGGTTGTGCGGCAAATGCAACCCCCGAATGCTTGGAAGATGTTGGCAAATATTGTCTGGTAAACTACCACTTAAATTGTTTAGGGTTAGAGCCAAAATTGTCAAAGAGGACATGTTGAATACAACAACAAGAATATGACCTTTTAGAGCATTAGCATGCACAAACAGCCACTCCCTTATCTTTACTGCCAATCAAGATTAGAATTCCTAAAAAACCAACACACACGTGATACGTATATGTATTGGAAGGGTTTCTTTAAAGATTCAAGTCGTTGAAATAAAGCTAATCAACTTCAACTTGTGTAGATGAGACAATTCCGGTGGCAAGGTACCACCAAAATTGTTGTTTCTGAATTCCAACTCAACAAGAAGTGGCAGGTTGCCTAGGTGGGGATTTGAAAAGCAGCCTGGTCTGTGCTGAAGTTGGCTTGTCCTGCTACTGAACCTATTTTTAAGATAGGTATGTATATACAAGAGTATTGAACCAATAGCAACAAAGTTGTCAACGAGGGGAAACGAGTTATTGCCATTGTTGTGCGCTATGAACCAAGAAATTAGAAGAAATAGGAACTCAAAAGTAGTCTTTTAATCTATTGGGCAAATGAATCTTTGGCAACAATTACTTATTGTCAACCCGGTAAGTTTAAAAGTGTAATGAATTTTATGGTTTTAAATTTTTTGAATGGGTGTAAAGATAAATTTACATATTTGATTGGGTTGTGAGGGTGATTTAGGTAGTAAATTTGGGTTTAAAGAGATATCAATAGTTTAATTAAGAATTATATGGGTGTAGAGAGTAAGTTAGGTAAGAGGTTATATGGGTTCAAATAAAATTTCTCTTTTTATAATTGAACAATTTCATTGGAGGTTCCACAAACCCTAAAACTCGCATGTATAATCTTTTTGCGCAAGTATGATAAATCCACATGATAATCAAACTATTTTCACAAATATGTTAAGAGCTACTTGTAATCGGTGTTTAAAATATTAGTATTGTGGAAATATCGACATGCAAATTTGTGGAAGTATCAACGGATGTATTAAATATTGATATCAGTTGCTTTAGATGGAAATGATAAAAATTTAAAATGAAACTTTAGGAATTGTCAAATATTAGTTCGGACGAAATATAAGAGTTTCTCCAATATGAGGTAAAGTTCAGACTTCAACCCCCAATTTCCATATCTTTCTTTGATTTTTTGGATATTTCCATGAAACTGTCGAACGTATTGATGAAATTTTAAACACTGCTTGTAGTGCATAATACTAATAAGCTAAACAGGCGGGTCTCGTATATTTGTCTGGAGGATTGATGATACTGGTACACTGTTATTGTGACATTTAATACTAGTGATACAACATTATGTATAAATTTCTTTTCACATAACATTATACTATTAACAAAAGACGTAAAGATACCAATGTACTGGTCCCGTATAAATATTCCCTCTTGGAGCTTCAATTTGATTGTTACCCCCCAAAAAAATGGTCCCCAAATTGCGTGAGGTTAATTTATATTGATTGTTAATAAAAACAGAAAGGGAAAACACAAGGAATCGCACTTTTTGTCAAAATGATGGAATGGGTATGATTTGTTGGTAGCTTTACAGCCTTGTATTTGTTGTTTAATCTCTTGTTTTTCTATCAAGATTTTGTTGTTGGAAGCTGATAGAGTGATAGATTTGTTAAACCCTCAATTATTTGTAATTAGAAATTAATCAAGTAGGAACAAAACCGCAACCACCAACCATCAGAAAATATATTTTTTCTCATTTGGTGTGGCTCTTGGAGTTTTGACAAAAACACAGCCGCATAATCTCGTGAAGGTAGACAAAAACAACTATGTTCATTTATGCGTCATCGCTCTCACTTAAAACAAAACTGCATGAATCCACGACAAGTCGCCGCCCAGTAGAAAAGTGAAAACGTCAAGGGGGCGTTTGTTTCCCCTCACTAAGTGGGACTGGACTAGCTGTTAGTCCAATATTGTGTTTGTTTCATGCTGGGACTAACATTAATGAGACTAAAGAGGACTAGCATGGACAAAACCCTTCACTAAGAGGTCTTAGCGAGATCCCCCAATAACCATGGGACTAGCTAAGACTATCCTCTCTCGTCCTCGTCATGCTCAACAACCACTTCCAATAGACTCATCGTCATCTCCGATTAACTAGATCATAATAAAATATTAATAATTTATATATTAAATAATATAATATTAGAATTTGTTATTATCCAGCTTCTTAGTCCAACACTGTACCAAACGCTTCACTAAGTTAGTCCAGCTTAGTCTAGTCTAAGCCAGTCCAGCTTAGTCCTTGAAGCTAGTCCAGTCCGAGATAGTTCGGCGCAACAAACGCCCCCCAACTCTCTAATGAAAAAAGGGGAAGTCCTGAGACTCCTTGATCGTGGCAAAGGGTAAGATGCAATCTCAATTAGCCTTCTTGGGTTTAGAATGTGTGGGTAACCGTTGTTTATTACCAGTTGTCTTCTTTTTAAGAAAAAAAAAATTGTATGAGTACCAAAAACACAATCATGTGGGGTATGTTATAATAAGAAAGGAAAATTAATGAAAATACTTGAAAATTTTGAGTTTTAATTAAAATGATAAAAATATGTTGTAAGTGAATTGTATCAGAAATGACTTTTAAAAGTAAAAATATCATTTTTGTTAAAAGTGAACTGTACTGAAAATGTTTTGTTAAAACTCCCTAATAAGAATGAATGACATGATTAGTCTGTTTCACTCTTAAAATGTATTAATGAAAAGACAAATCTAAACTTTATAATTTAGATAATAACGTTGTAAAATCGTGTTGCATTTACATTTAAAATTACTCTTTTGCTTAGCGGTCCATGTGTTTGACAGAATCGACACGTCGGCATTTGAAAAATCTCAAAATTTGAAATGAAGGCAAGACATTTCTGTGTTATCCAAATAAAGAGACAAAGTCAACTTACAACTGCTGTTGATAAAGTAAAACCGAAGTTTCTACTCATATTTGTGTTAAAGAATTAGTAAGAGAAACATTTTAGAGAAATATTACGAAGATTATCAAAAATGAGATTTTCAGAGATTGCCTGTCATTTTACGTTTTTAACGTAATATTTTATAATTTTGGTATGAGAATTAACATTAAATTTAGGGATACTTTAAATGCGATCCTTAATCCTTAACATTCTTTGATTAAAATCTTAATAATATTCAAAGTTTGATCAAGGTCTCTTAACTTTGTACACTTCATTATATTACTATTAATATTTATAGTTTTGACATTAATTGTTTGATATTTTATGAGATTATAATCCTATAAATTTAAAATCCCTCATTATAATATTATTAGAAATGGTTACAATAAAAAAATTCAAACATTTTGATTGAATAAATGGATAAAAACTATGTAAAAATAATAAATAATAAATGGCAAAATAATGTATCCATAGTGTTAAAAACAATTGGTATATTTTATAAACAAATTGGTACATTTCACATATAACAAAGTGGTACATTAATAAAGAAGAATGAGTACATTAGAAATAAATTAGGATACAGATAAAATATTAAAAATTATGAATACAAATGAATTTTTAAAAATATAGGCACTAAAAGAAATTAATACATGGGTACAAAATAAAACTAAAAATATAAATATATGATACAAAGTTTAGGCATAAAACATAAATATACCATATGTAATTTTTCTATCATTGATTAAATGTCACGTGACGGTATACACATGGGTACAAACACAAATAAAACTTTAAAAAATATGGGCACAAAAAGAAACTAATATATGGGTACAAATTAAAAATGAAAAGAAAATTGGTACAAATTAAAAAATATTAGCAAATTAAAAATAGGTACAAACTAAAAATAAAAATATATGATAAAAATTTTAGCCGTAAATATAAATATACTAATTGTAACATTTTTATCATTAAAGGAATATATTTAAAAATAAAAATATTTTATTATTGAAATAATTAATGATGTTATTAATACCCAAGAACCTTGATCAAAAATTAAAAATGAATAGGATTTTAATCAATGGAGTAACAAAAAGAAAGATGTGAACCTAATTTTCTCTTAAATTTATTGGGTTTTCTAGCCCATGATGAGTTGTCATAAGTTTGTTAGAATTATACTCTTTAGGGGATTAAATTATTTACCCAATTGGAGTTGTTTTCGCAATTTAAGTTGTTTTCCCAATTGGAGAAGGATCCATAAATAGATTCTAATTATGATTAGTAATCTTTATCAAAGAAGACCTTATGTCTATATAAAGGGACTATTGCACTAGTTTTGAAGTTGAGCAAACCAATAATTTGTATACCACTCAAGGAGTTAGAGCGAGGAAGGGCAAAGTCTGTGCAGGAGAAAAGAAAAGAAATAAGAGTGTATTTCTTTTTCTTGTTCTTTCGTGTTTGTCGTCAAGTCTTAATTCTGGAGACTTGACAAGATTACCCGTTATACTTATTATTGATATAGTGAAAGATTGTTGTTGTTGCTACGTGGATGTAGACACATATTGCCAAACCACGTTGATTATTGGTGTTGATTTCTCTTGGTTATTTGTTTTTGGTTTCTTCAGTTTGTTCTATTTTTTCTATTCTTAAACACAATATTCACACCAAATAAGATGGTAGAGAGTTCATAAAAAATTTCACTTTCAAATAATCTCCTTAGCATTTCTCAACATTTTATACACCGGCATAAGTTTCTCAATATGAAATATTGACCAATAGGAAAGCACCTTGGCATTCATCAATTGACATTAATGTTCTAGTCACGTATCGGTACTTCCTTAATGTTAATTACCAATTTCCAGGAGCCTATGACCCAACATTAGAGAGAATAAACATCAATGATGTGATCGTCACGCTACGAGAGACGCTAAGGAGACTTTATCAAAAATAAGATTTTTCACATATTTTTTGTCATCTTATATTTTTTTTTCACAATTCTTGTGGCAATATTATAAAATATCGTGTAAAAAATATGAGGTGACGGAGAATTTCACTTTGAAATAATCACTTTAGCATTTCTCGTCACACTACTCTATGACACGTGTTACATTTATTGACTGTATATTCTGGAATATAAATTATCCTTTCATCCCACGTTGAACACTTGGTTTATAATACTTTTAGCACAGGAACACATTTTTTAATATGTTAGGAACACGAGGTGGTACACCGCATATCTTTATACAAATGGAATGAGATAATTGTATTAGAAAACTTAATAAGTGCATTTTTACTCACCTTCATAAACTATGTTGTATGCTCACCATCACTTTTAAAGCTTGACACTGTCTACTAACATAACCATGATTAAATCATATAATTTTTAATTCTAAATATATCATTATGAGGAGTGAAAAACCTTTGTATATTTACAGGTTCGTCGTCTTCTTCCATGGTAATTGCAGGTTTATTACAAACTCGTCGTCTTCTTCTTTGGTTAATGCATATTTATTTGCAAATTTGGGATACACATATCGTCCCTTACCCAAAACATGCCCAAAATTAACTAAAAAACTAGGAGCCTGTTTGGTACTATACTTGAATCCAACTTTTTAAACTCAAAAACAATTTTCAAGTTTTAGGCGTTAAAAACTTGTTTGGTAGAACTATTTAAAAAAAAATGAACTCAAGACTAACTAAAAAATACAGATATTATCTAAAAACTCTAAAAAAAACATAAAAAATGAGTTTTTAAACTTAAACTCACTCATTACTTTTCTCTCCCTACTCCCCTCTCACTCCAAATCTCTCTCTCTCTCTCTCTCTCTCTCTCTTTTCTTCTTTCTCTCCTCTTTTTTTTTTGACCTTTTTCATGTCTCCTTCAATCCGCTCTCTTCATTCTCTTTGTTCTTTCTCACTCCTCTTCATCTCCATCTCGTCTGATCCTCTCTCTGCTTTCTCTTCCCTTCTTTCCTCCTCTCTCCTCTTTCTCCCTCTCCAGCGACCCTCTCTTAGATCTCTTTATTTAGTTTAAATCGCAAATCAATCAAGTTTTTTAGTTTTAAAGAAAATTGTTTTCAAGAAATGTTTTGAGAAATAATAAAAAATTTCAAATTGGATACCAAATAGGTTTTAAACCTTCCTCCATTTGTCTAATGACACATGGTATACCCACCCGTGCTCCAGGCAAAATGATAAATTTCTCCAGCACATGGGTTCCATTTATTATGCGGTGAATAATAGGACTGCGTAAATAATGCGCAGATTAATCTTTGTTACCGACAGAATAACAAACTGGTTATTTTACACAGATGAAATACATGAGGTCGACTAAATTTAAGCGGAAACAGAAAATTGAATACCATATAAAACTTGGGAATTTAAGGGAATATTAGTTTCCTCGAGGCTACTTCGCTAATCCTTGATCAGCTGGCCGCGGAACACACTGCCATCCTGCGCAATGTTGGAGAACATGCTTAAGATCGTCCACGGGCGGTCCTTTTGTCCATGTCTGATAGTGCTGGGTAGGATGAAACACGCAATGTTCACCGCCATCGGGGGATAATCCTGCTTGAGTTCCCGTTACAAATAAGTCGCCTTCGGACTTAATGTGGCCAGTCATTGGCGTCTCCTTGTCCGCTGCCTATAGGAAAGGCGGAGTAAACAAGTTAGTCTCATTAGCAAAATACAATTCAATGGCCATGTACTGGATGAATCGACAGTAGCTTTAATTGAACAAACAAGTCTACAATTAAAGGCTGCGAGTAACGTATTCTCATTCATCAAGCCTTCAATTGGATTAATAGAAATAAAATATCGCATTATATGCATCCATGTTAAAACTTTCTTGAAATAACTCAACTCAGCATTCAGTAACTAACTAAACACGAATGCGCTTACTTGAGCTTATGCACCATTCTGACCAACCCTTACTAAAAACAAATGCACTTACTCAAGTTTATGCACTATTCTGATCAACTTTCACCGCCAATGAAAAATTACTTACTGATATCATGATTATCATCAATGACCACCACTAGGCCTACACTATCTTCATTTTTATTTGGTTAAGTATGGTCGAATCTTGATCAACATATCCAATGCTTCCAGTTTGAGATCAGCTTTATAGGTTGCTAAGAGGGTGGTAATATAGAAGTTGGAAATTTGGAGGTATCTCTGAACCCCTTGGAAATTTCAATGGTTAACAGCTAGAACAGGATTAAAATGCATGGATAAAGTTACTAACTTAACATACGGCATCAAGTTATATGATGATGAAAGAGTCTGACCTTACATCGTGATCAGAGTTATGAATTTCTAGATCATAGGATGGGATGAGCAAAAAAGCTAGCACTCATACAAGGAATATTGCAGAATACTAATATACAATATCTTTAGATCAGCTTCTGAATTGTCAAATGCTGAATAAAACTGCACAATTATGCGAGTAAGAAATCTTAAAGGCATGTAGATAAAAATGAAAATGGACATACCTTCTCCGTAAGGTACTTAAATGCCACTTTTTTCTGTCCTGCTTCATATATATTGCATTCCGAGAATATCTGGGGTGGAAAAATAATAAATATCATATTCACCTCGTATGGGATAAAATACTTGGAAAGGGGGATTCGAGCAATATATAATATCCATTCGTACTACCTGCGATTCTACACTAGCACAAACAGCATATATGCCCCAGTTTCGGGTGTAATTGTTATATAGATGTACTTTTGCAAATCTAACACGAGGATGCCTCTGTCTGGTCCCATCAAAGAAACAGTGGTGAATGGTAACCCGGATGCATCTGTCATCAATATGAGAGGGATCTGAGCCAATCAGCATTGTCTTATCATGCTGTGAAAAATGACACCTGCACAATGGTTAAACACAGAAACTTAAATTTTGCAAGGATTAGACAAATGACTTCAACATGGAGGGAGGATTCACCTCACCTGGAAATTGTAATATCAGTGCTTCCTCTGGTGATATCGATAAGTCCGTCTTCATAATCACGAAGGCTGCAGCGATCTATCCATATGTGTTTAGAATTGGGTTTTATTTGAATGCCATCAACATCTGGCCCTCTACCACCTTCAAACTCTAAATTGCACACAATGACATGTTCACATTCCTTCAACCTCAACCCCTTCCCTGTAAGTTTAATCCTCTGACCACGCCCATCTATAGTCTTATACGATGACACGTTCAAGTAAGATTGGAGATGGATAGTGCCTGAAATTTCGAAGACAATCCAAAGCGGTTCTTTCTGACGACATCCTTCCCTAAGTGAACCCGGACCATCATCTACAAACAAATATAAACAAAAACAATTAAAATTTAAGCTTCCACACGCAACGATACACAGTTCACGACATCAAATGCCAATCTCAAGTTCTCAATAGATGAAACAGCAGCAAGAGATACAATCAAATTTACTAATTTAACAGCAAGATTCATACTCTGGAGTTGGCATGCCAAATTAACTACAAAATCATCCGCTTAAACTGACAAAACCCCTCGAAAACGGATTCGAATCAAATTCCCATAAGCATTTCTACTATCCCAATCCCCATAAGCAAGTTTTACTTCAACTAATTGCAAATTAAACACTAACCCACAAATTAAACTTTCAAAACAAGCAACCCAAATTTGCATGCCACAAAACAAACACATTTACAAAGTGATTCGAAGCTAAAATTAACAAGAACAAACATTTAGTTAACAAATTGAATTTACAAAACTGACCTGCTAGAGTGGTGACGTGGTAAACGGCGCCGTGGAGGCCGCCGATTGCGAGCCGGCCGAAGCCCTCGGCCTGGGCGGAGAGGGCGCGCAAGCTCGAGTCGACGTGAGCGTACGGCAAGGCGACCACCATGCTGCTGCTGGTCTTCTTAGCTGACGTTGAGCTAGAGCTAGGGATTTGAGCCGCTTGATCCGACGGACCATATTTAAAGCCCGAATTGGCCGTTTCACTGGACCCGGGGCCATTACGGCGTTTACGGTGGTGGCCGTGGGAGTTGCCCATTTATGGCGAAAACGTTGCTGTTTTGATTTGTGATTACGGCCGAAATTGAAACGGAAAAAAACTCGTCATGTGATGTTGTGCCGGTGAATTGAAACGGAAGATGAAGATTGTATGCGTTTGATGCGATATTATTTGTCGGTTATGCTAAAGTGTTTCTTCTGTTGGATTCTTGCAGGGTTTACTGTTATTAAAACCGCCGACACATTTATGTCCGTAATTGTGTTTAATGGTTACGTTTGTTACGTGACATCTTCTCGATGAGATGTCAAAAATGTAACATAAATATATAACAGTAACAAATAATGTATCATTTATTCTAATCGATATGTTAAAGCAGATGTGAAAGAAAATGTTAAGCTAACATGGACTAAGAGATGTTAAATTTGAAACTGCTTTCAAATATGGTTTTTTGCTAATTTCAAAGGCTTTCCACTTGCCTCATCTTAAATGATAGCATATTATGTATTATTTTATTATTTTTTTAAACCAACAACAACTTAACTTTTATAATTTTTGTTTAAAAAACATAAATGAAAGAATAAATTTTGGCATATCAAGGGGAAGAAAAATATTAATAATATGTCATATTGTCAAGTCAGCCATTTTGAAGATGCTCTGATAAAAGAGGCTTCTTCAAATGACACATTTCTTTTTTTACACACAAAAAAACAAGAATTTTAATGCTTTTGGTTACAAATTAATAACTCAAAATATAATAGAGAAATGTTAGGAAGACTTTATTAAAAATAGGATTCTTCATGGACCTCAAAATAAAATAAAACAAAAGACATAATTATATTCGGGAGTGAACGACTAAACAAACATCAGTATTTAGTGAAATCCTGCCAAAATATGGTGTACTTTCGATCGAATTCTGCTACATAAAAGTGTATGGTGCAACCATGGAAAATCGCATGGCTGCAACCATGTAAAATGACACGCTTTGATCCCGATATTCCTCAAATACCAGGATAGGCACGTGCTGGCCGACACCCGAGGATGACGAAAGCCATTTATTGCATATAAGAGTAATGATTAAGAGGAAATATGAATAAATAATCATAGGAGAAATTAAGTGAATTAAACAGAGTTTAAGAAAATAGCTAGAGTGCACAGAACACGTTCTAAAACAAGATCACAAAGAAAGGATCATTACAAGATATAACACAAGTGAATAATAGACCGTTACTGATAGGGGAATGCCTCGTACGTTGTGTCGTAGTCCTCGTTTCTAAGACTTGAATGGGGGTGCAAGACAAAGGTGAGTGGATTAAGTTCATATACATACATAGTACAAAGACAGTTATGAACATACTAACCCCCATAATAAGTGATAGCTTTTCAGAAAACTCTAGCATGCCATAGAACAATTTATAAGTCAATGCATAAGATCATCACATAAATCATTCTCGCAAAGTCAACTCAGGAAGCAGTTCACAAGTCATCTTATATCTATAGTGTGCTACTAGTGAGTTCACTGTATAATAATAATAACTCCCGGCCCAATGCCTGCTCCATGGTCTCTGCGCCCGTAGCCAGAGATTATTTACTCTTGGCCCAATGCTTGCTCCGTGTCCCTCAGCCCGTAGCTAGGAATTATTTCTCCCGACCTAACTGCCAACACCAGATCCTCGCCCCAGGTGGCATAGTATAGAGTCATCCATCATCTATACTATGAAGAGGTGTTCGAAAAACATGTTCTAAGTATTATATCGTCATCCATAAGATATTCTACCAGAACATGATTTTTATATAGAAAATATGATATTTAAAATAAGTTCAATATAGGCTATAATCGATTCTCAATATATAATATTCAAAACATATTCAAATAATCATGCCTCCTGTAAAACGTTATCCAAAACATAAATCTGTAAGGCATGCTATTAATATGTGCAAATTCTATAATTAAATCATGCAAATTTTAGAAGGGATCCACTCACTAGTAATTCCAGCATATTCCTCAATAGGTGCCTTAATCCATCTCTGTACCATTAAATTTGCCTCTGCCTTGTCGAAAGATTCCGCTAGAACTAACGGTTTTCGTTGCAGTCGCCGTTAATCTTAACAGCAACCACCGCTGGCATTGCCAGAGTTCGTCGGAAACTTTTGAGGATACGGGGACGTTGAATTTATCTCGGATTCAACATGAACTTGCCGGATTATCCTTGCCAGATTCTGGAAAAAGGAAACAGAGTGCATGCATGTTAATTCTTAGTGATCTCCCACCAAACTTCACATGCAGCAAGGTACCTAATTACCTAGAATAGTGTCCAACTGAATTCGAGGGCCAACACTCTCAAACTTGCCGGAGAAAAACGCGGTTTCACCGTCGAAAACTGAGATAAAAAGAATATGTATATGCAGAGAATTAAACCCCAAATATAATCGACATAAAACTCGTCCAGATAAATTATACACAACCAAGAGAAGAACAATTCCTACCTGATATAAAAATTCAAGAGAGCTCCAGCTCTCGATGGCTATGGCAGATTACGCAGAGGTGCACAAAAGCCACATACAACCTTGCAGATAGATTCTCTAGGTCCTAAAGGTCCAAGGTTCGAGTTATTGGAAGTTGATTTGATCGGATTCGCGAGAAATAGTGATGGTTCTTGCTCGGAGATAGAGGATGAGAATGCAGAAAGGAAATGGAGAAATAGAGAGTAAGTGTAAAAGAATGAAGAATAAGAGAGGGGTTCACGGTGCAGAAAATAATTATAACCTTGGGCTGGGATTTTGGGCTAACGTTAGCACAACCTAAAAGATTGGGCCGAAAAGTCCAAGCCCACTAATGGCAAAAGCGTAATTTACCTTACATTTTGGAACATGTTATTACATAAAATCCCATGGCTGCCTTACAAAATTGCACAACCTTCACAATCTATGAAAAATTGCATATGGCTGCAATCTTACACTCATAAACCCTGAAAAAACTTTTCTGGCATAAATCTCTTTTTCCTTTCTTTTATTTTGCACACATACTTGGGCTAACAAAGAATTTATTTGCAGGCAATACACTCTTAAACCCTAAAAATTTGAAATTAAATGAAAAAAAAACTTGCACAAATTGATTCATACATTAGTTAAAGGATTTAAAACTTCAAAATCACTATCCATCGGTCCAAAAGAGCGTTTTTTATTTTTTATTTATTTTTATTTTCTCCATGAGAGCATCTTGGGGTTTTTAGCTAGATTGAATGTATGATAAAGATTGTGTGATGGTATGGTTTGATTATTGGGTGTGTGTTTATTAATAAATTTTAGTTTTATTATTAATTTCATCTCGTACTTGATGATAATAAATAGGGTAAAAAAGAAAATTCACATTTAGGTGTACATTGAGATTATGTGTTTAAATAAAATTTCTCTTTTGATAGTGAATGAGGGGTTTGTTTAACGTTTATACTTGCTTAGTTGAAATGAATTTTTTCCTTTTTTTTATTTGAGGGAAAAACAAACATCAAGACAAACTAATTGGTGAGTAATTATTTAGAGTTGTCTTCATATTTATCTTGTTTTTCTAATGAAAACAAGAAATATTTTTGTAAAACAATACAATTATTACTAAATTTTGTTAAATTTCTCCTCAAAACAATCCGACAAATTTGAAGGATGATATTGATATATTTTCTTATTATTTTTAATAGTCACGCTTTACATATCGCTACAGAACAATGAATTTTATAATTTCTTCACTTGCAACTTTGCATATGCTGCAAACAAATTTCTCAATCCAAAAACTATGGGGGCTTTCAATTCCATTAAGATTTTCAATTGCTTTTCATCGACATTACATAAGGTAATAGCAAAAGGTTAAAATTATGTGTTTTTTTTTTCCCAAACAACTTCAAGAATACAAAATCTCTTCTCATGCTTTTTCTTGTTACACAAGCAACCTTGTTTGGTATGGGTGTAGTCCGATCCCCGTGCGTCGTGGTGTCAAAAATGGAAAATCCCAGCTGGCGCCAAATTAACTACCTCGTTCTTTTTATTTTTTTTTTTAATTTTCTTAATATGTCAACCTCATTTTTTTAATTTGAAAAAAATAAAAAACCGAAAACACCGCCGTTCTTGGCCACCCGCCACCTGCCGCCTCCTCCTGCCGCCCCGTCCCCATCAGCTCCACCTCCTTCCTCGCCTTGAAAACCCAGATCACACACATTCTTCATTCCTCCCAATCAATTCGTCGCATTTTTTTATTATATAATTTTATATAATAGAAAAATGAGCACGTAAAGTCTCTATTTTCACAATGAGAATCCGTTTGGGACCGGGGCATGATTCAGGTACTCCCTCTCTCACTGCGTGTTATTGTGTGTTTGGCTGCCGAGAATCTGCGGGAAAATGAAAGAAAATGGAATTAGGAATTGAATGTTCCCTCATTGCCCATTTTCGTTTCTTGATCAATTTCGCGGGAAACACAGAACATAAATTTCATTAATTTTGCTATTTTTTTTGTATTAATTTCTCAATTATCATTATATATTCACTGACTATATGATCCAATCTGTTGTTTTTTTTTTTTTTACTTTTAAATTAATTATATGAATAAAGATATAAATTGTGGAGTTTATTTGATTTGTAAGTAGGTGAGAGGGACTTGGAGAAGGGGCTGGTGCAGCCCTCAACCCCAGGAGCTCTGTCGGAGCCGCCGTCGTCACCGCACCCGTCGAGGCCCGCCCTGGTGTTCTCGAATTCCAGCAAGGCCCTGCTGGTTTCAAATTCTGGCAAGGCATTGCTGGTTTCGAATTCCAGCAAGTCTCTGGTTGCGTCTAATTCCGGGAAGCGCATTGATCAGTTGGGGAGGAAGAAGTATGTGAAGCAGGTGACTGGCCGCCACAATGACACAGAGCTCCACCTGGCTGCGCGCCGCGGGGACTTGGCAGCGGTGCATCAGTTTCTGGGGGAGATTGATGCCCAGATGGTGGGATCCGAGTTTGATGAAGAGGTGGAGGAGATGAGGTCTGCTATTGTGAATGAGGTGAATGAGTTGGGAGAGACGGCACTTTTCATAGCAGCGGAGCAGGGCCATCTTGCTATAGTGGAGGAGCTTCTGCCTTACATGACGGAGAAGGGTATTTTGTTGAAGAATCAAATTGGGTTTGATGCATTGCATATTGCTGCAAATAAAGGGCACCAAGGTAACCATAAAGTTAGATAATCCGTGCCGGAATTTGAATTATTAGTTCAGTTCAGTAATGTGTATCTAAGTGTTTATGAAATGTTGAAACTTGAAATGGCGAAATTTTTAGTGTGACGGTCATTACCATCGAGTGATGTTACTAACGCACATTTTATAGTATTGGTGATCGAAAGATCAGAGGTTTTTTATTCACTGTGAGTTGAAACAGTGTTGTGTTTGATTTTGTTTTAGTTCATGCACTTTGAGTTGTTTCTGCTTTGTCTTTGGTGATTAATCGAGTTTCAATACCATGTCACCTCAGCTCAATAACCAGCTTTCTGCAGCCGTTGTCCAGGTGCTCTTAGACCATGACCCGGGGCTTAGCAAAACAGTGGGCCAGGCAAATGCTACCCCTCTTGTGTCTGCTGCTACAAGAGGGCATACAGCCGTCGTTAAAGAATTACTATCCAAAGATTCTACTTTGCTGGAAGTAGCGAAATCCAATGGGAAGAATGCGTTGCATCTTGCTGCGCGACAGGGGCATGTGGAAATTGTGAAAACTTTGCTTGGCAGGGATCCACAACTAGCAAGAAGAATTGATAAGAAAGGACAAACTGCTCTGCATATGGCCGTAAAAGGTCATAGCAGTGAAGTTGTGAGGTTGATTGTCAATGCGGATCCAGCTATTGTCATGCTTCCAGACAAGTTCGGCAATTCAGCATTGCATGTGGCCACCAGGAAAAAGCGAGTAGATGTATGTATTTCCATTGTTGGATCTTCATGTTTTGACATGTTAATATGATCTTGTTCTATGATCGGATACTTAGTATTGACTTTATTCAATTTAATTTCTCATTATGCTTGCAGATAGTCAATGTGCTGTTGCTCGTTCGTGATACAAATGTGAATGCTCTAACAAGAGACCAGAAAACACCCCTTGATATAGCCGAAGGACTTCCATACTCTGAAGAAATCACAACAATTAAGGAAACCTTGACTCAATATGGTGCTTTCCGAGCAAATGAACTTAACCAGCCACGGGATGAGCTTAGAAACACCGTGACAGAGATACAAAAAAATGTCCATAATCAGCTTGAACAAGCCCGCAAAACCAACCAGAGTGTTACTGGAATTGCCAAGGAGCTCCGCAAGCTACAGAGGGAAGGAATCAATAATGCCACTAACTCAGTCACAGTGGTTGCTTCACTCTTTGCAACAGTAGCTTTTGCAGCTCTATTTACACTTCCTGGCGGTGATTTTGACACCGGGGCAGCTGTTGTGTCAATCCGAGTATCATTTAAAATTTTCATCCTTTCCAATGCCGTTTCACTCTTCTCATCATTGGCTGTTGTTTTGGTACAAATCACCCTCGTCAGGGGGGAGACAAAGACGGAGAGGAGGGTTGTGGAAGTGATCAATAAGTTGATGTGGCTAGCCTCTGTCTGCACTACAGTAGCATTTATATCTTCATCGTATATAGTGGTTGGGCGGCATAATTTGTGGGCTGCAATCCTTGTCACAGTTATAGGGGGACTTACAATTGGGGGAGTTATTGGTACCATGACATATTACGTGGTGAAGACCAAAAGGCTTCGCAGACTGAGGAAGAGAGAGAAGATGTTGAGGAGGAATGGAACTAACCATTCCATGCGTCACTCAGAGTCTGATTCAGAAGTGAACCGTATTTATGCCCTGTGATCATACTGTGGTTTGGAACTAGCCTCTGGTTCTATGTCTGCCTCTAACACGGGGAGGAGAAAATCATACAGGATACTTGGTTCGCAAGAGGTTCTCCGCTATAGATACAAAATTCAGGGACCTTGTAACAGCATCAGTGTGTGGAGTGTGGACTCGTTTGAAAATGATTTTCCAGGCGTCTCAAGGATTGCAAAATTTTTCAGCAAAACCGTTGACGCCCTTAAATCGTCAAAGGCAGCGAGGGATTAAAATGATATGGCGTATACGTGGTACTGGTCTGATTTGTAACTTGTATAGTTGGATTAGTCACAAATAATCAATTTTCCACAGTTGGAAACCTGTGAGTTGTTTGGTTGAACACGCGAAAGCGCGAATGGCCTTGAGACATGTTCTTTGCATAGCCTTGTTCACTTTGTATTTTTACTTTCTCCAGGAGCTTGACCCTATTGAAAAGCTTGTACATTTTCGAAAACTTGTTGTTCACTTTCATCTTTCTGATTTACAGGGATAAAACAACATTTGCTTTAGTGTAACAAATGTGGCGGATAGTGATCCCATCCGTCACATTTGAGAGCGACCGCTTTTCATACATTGTGGAAGACTTTTATGAGATATAACTCTGATATTTCATTTACTTAATGAATAAGAAATTACAATGGGTTTATATACAGCAGAGAAAAATAGCTTAGTAACTAATTACACCTAGATAACTCACTAATCTAGTAATTAGTTACAAGGACAGCTGTAACACACTTGTAACAAAAATACAACCAACTATTTATATGCCTCTTTACACCCCCTCAAGCTAAACAGAGGATAGCCGAGTGAAAGCTTGGTTTGAAGATATTGAAACCGAGCTTTGGAAAGAGATTTAGTGTGGATATCAACAACTTGATGCTGAGTATTGAGGTATTGTACCCAGAGCAATTTGGCGAGAACTAGTTCACGAATGTAATGGTAATCAATTTCCACATGCTTTGTCCGAGCATGAAAAACTGGATTTGAGGCTAGAGAAATTGCAGAGAAATTGTCACACCAAAGAGTGGGAATGATAGTGAGGTGAAGAGCAATATCTCTGAAATTTTACACACCCATGTGAGTTCAGCTGCAATGTGCGCAAGAGATCTATATTCGGCCTCAGTAGAAGATTGAGCAACAGTATGTTGCTTTTTTGCACTCCAACTAATCAAGTTTTTGCCCAAATATATATAGTAGCCACTTGTAAGCCGTCGATCAAACACACAACCAGCCCAATCTGTATCAGAATAGGCTGTAAGGTGCAATGAACTCTTCTTAAACCACATTCCTTGATCAAATGTACCTTTTAAGAATCGTAAGATTCTTTTGACAGCCTGAAAGTGTGAATCACAAGGACAATGTAGAAATTGGCAGACTTGATTCACGGCAAAGGAAAGGTCAGGTCTGGTCCAAGTGAAATACTGAAGAGCCCCGACGATAAACCTGTATTCTTTAGGATCAGCTAATGGAACGCCAACATGATCAAGCTTTTGAGTTCCCAAGGGGGTAACACAAGGTTTACAACCTTCCATGTTTGTCTTGAGTAAGAGATTTAAAGCATATTTGCTTTGAGACAGAAAAATGCCATCATTGGATCTATGAAATTCTAGGCCAAGGAAATAGTGCAATGGGCCTAAATCCTTAACTAGAAATAAGGAACCAAGCTGCTGAATAAAGTGTTGACATAGAGAGGTATTGGGACCAATTACCAGTTTATCATCCACATATACAAGAACTAGGACAGGAAATGGTTGAAGTTTCACAAACAGAGAGCAATTAGATTGAGAGTTTGTAAAACCAAGAGATACCAGAGTGTTAAAAAACTTGTCATACCATGCCCTAGGAGCTTGCTTTAAGCCATATAAACCTCTTCTTTGAGATTGCTATGAAGAAAAGCATTGCTGATGTCAAGTTGGTTTAAAAACCAATCATATTGGACTGCAAGTGTAAGAAGAATGCGAATAGTAACAGGTTTAGCAACCGGGCTGAAGGTCTCTTTGAAATCAACACCTTCTTGTTGATGGAAGCCCTTAGCAACAAGACGGGCTTTGTATCGATCAATGGAACCATCGGGTTGTCTTTTGATTTGAAAGACCCATTTGCAGCCAACTAGATTTTGATGGGGAGATGAGGGTACAAGATTTCAAGTGCCGGTGGACTGGAGAGCTTGAAATTCTTCCATCATTGCTTTATTCCAGTGATCATATTTGGAGGCTTGCAAATAAGTAGTAGGCATAAAAGAAGTAGAATCAACAGGATGGTTGGTAGCTGCAAATACTTTTGGCTTGAAAATTCCAGCTTTAGACCGAGTAATCATGGGATGAGTGTTTGTGGGAACTGAAATAGAAGAATAATGGTGCTCGTGAGATGAGGCAGAACCTTGAGTGTGTTGAGAAGGTTGAGGTGGAGAGACTAATGGTGTTGAGGAAGAAGCTTGAGATATATATTGACTCGGAGAGGAATGAGTCACGGAAAACTGTTGAGGTGCAGAGATGCTTGATTGAGGAAATGGCAGTGAGAACTCAGTTGATGTAGATGAGGAAGTACACTGTGAAAAAGATTGTTGAGGAGAAGAAACATCATGAAATGGAAAATGGTCTTCATTGAAAAGAACAAGCCGTGAGATATAAACCCTGTTGGTCAATGCATCGAAACACCTATAGCCTTTGTGTTGAAGACTATAGCCCAGAAAAACACATGGTGTACTTTTACCATCCAACTTTGATTGCATATAAGGCTTAAGCTAAGGATAGCAACAACAACCAAATATCTTCAACTTTGAATAATCAGGAGGCTTGTGAAAAAGAATTTCCCATAGAGACTGAGAGGATCCAGAGATAGGTAGTCAATTAATAAGATACAGGGCAGTAGAAAAAGCCTCTACCCAAAATATGTGTGGAACTTTAGAAACAATAAGAAGTGTCCTTGCAGTCTCAGTAAGATGTCGATGCTTACGTTCCACACAACCATTTTGCTCAGGTGTGTGTGGGCAGCTAAATTGATGAGAAATACCATGCTGAAGCAAGAAAGAAGTAAATGCAGAACTTGTGAACTCACCCCCTGAATCTGTTCGAAAATCTTGATTTTATTTCCAAGTAAATTTTCAACATATGTTTTGAAATTTACAAAGGTAGAGATAACTTCAGACTTTGCCCTTAAAGGAAACATCCAACTGTATTTGCTATACTTATCTACAAACAGTACATAGTACTTATAGCCACTAACAGAGGAAACTGGACAGGGACCCCATACATCACAATGAATCAAGTCCAAGCTATTAGAGACAATGGTTGTGTTAAAAGAAAATGGCAGCTTGTGATGTTTACCAATTGCACAGTCTGCACAAAAAAATTGAACAGAAGAAGTTGAATTATTAGGAACAAGCTTATTTGTATGTAATATCCTTCGGAGAATTGCTGTTAAAGGGTGGCCAAGACTTTTGTGCCATTGGTGTAATGAAACCTGAGTGCTAACAAGTGCAGAGAATGGAGCTTGGAATGGCTGTCCTTGTAGTCCTTGCAGAGGATAGAAACCATCCCTAACTGGGCCTCGAAAAAGCGTCTTCCCAGTAAAACAGTCCTTGATGACAGAACCATCAGAGTCAAAAGTTAAAGAGCAATAATTGTCTCTTAGAAATTGATACACAGAGAGCAAATTGAATTGCATCATTGGCACATGGAGAACATTATTTAAGTGAAAGGCAGCATGTGTTGTTTTAAGTATAGAAGAACCGGTGTGGTGAATTGGCATACCTTGACCATTACCAGCATAAACCTTGTTTTCCAGAGTAAGGGACGGGAGAAGATATTGCTGAGATATCATTGGTGACATGAGCAGTAGCACCAGAGTCCAGAAGCCATGTAGGCTGAGAGAAAGAAGCAATATTGACACACATAGCAGCAAGCTTGGCAGGTGGAATCTTTCCAGCAAAAGCATGGTTCATTCGAGCATAGCAATCAAGGGCCTCATGATCAAAAGAGTTACAGATTTGACAAGGAGACCGATTTCCAGAGTTATGAGTAAAGCCACTAGAGTTGCGATTTCCAGAATTGTAGTAACCAGAGTTGTTACTGAAATTACCATTGCCAGTGCCAAAATTGTTGTAATTGCCACGATAGTTACCACGGCCACGATTATTACGCTGGAAATTGCCTCGGGCACGATTACTGCGCTAAAAATTGAAGCGATTGCTGTAGGCAGATTGGTGGACAACATTAGCCTGTGAGGAATGAGGCGTAGGTAAAAGACCTTTGCTGGAGAGATGGACCTTGAGTAGCAAATGCATGAAATGGTTCTGTAAGAGAAGATGCAGAAGTTTTCTTCTTCCAATGCATGAAAAATTCTTTGTTCAGAAGAAGGCCATGAAGTTCATCTAAGGAAGTAGATGAAATTCGAAGCATAATAGAATCTACGAAGGATTCATAATCATCAGAGAGGCCATTTAAGGTAATCGCAATAAGATCTTGATCCAACACCGGAGCTCCGGCAACCATAAGAGCGTCAGATATGCCTTTGATACGTTGTAGATAATCAGAAATGGACAAATCGTCTTTCTGAATTGCATGTAGACGGGATCGAAGTTGATGAATGTGCGCCGCCGAGACACCGCCAAATCGTTGTTCAAGAATCTGCCATAATTCTCGAGACGAAGTAACCCTGACGGTGAATGGAATGAGATCTTCAGAGAGAGTTGAATTCAGCCAAATAAGGATATTTTGATCCTTTTCAAACCAGATCTCAAAAGCAGGATTAGGAACGACAGTAGTTGCACCAGATTAATCAAGAAGAAAGGGCGGTGGACACACTTCCGATCCATCGATAACGCCTGTAAGTTTGTATCGTCAGAAAATTGGAGCGAAAAGTTCTTTCCAAACCAGATAATTGTCCTTCTTGAGCTTTGCAGGAACCATATAGCTGATGTTTTGGATTGAAATCGAAGAAATCGAAGAGAAATTCGAAGAGTTAGGGTTTATCGGAACAAAATTTGATGAAAGAGGGGTGGGATTTTGAGCGAAAACTTCCGGATTTGCAGGTGAAGAAGTGGAAGACGCCATTGGCGATCAAGATTTGCAGAGAAAAAGCAAAGAGGATCAGAGAAATCAAAGATTGCAGAAGAAGCTAGGATCGGTGCGTGAGCAGAGAGACGATTGATACCATATGAGAAATAACTCTGATATTTCATTTACTTAATGAATAAGAAATTACAATGAGTTTATATACAGCAGAGAAAAATAGCTTAGTAACTAATTACACCTAGATAACTCACTAATCTAGTAATTAGTTACAAGGACAGCTGTAACACACTTGTAACAAAAATACAACCAACTATTTATATGCCTCTTTTAACTTTTACATCCTTCACTTCTTGGAACAGATAATCCATTATGTTAAACACATTTTATATACTTTAATTGTCCGCTAATTAAGATTGTGATTGGTTGGGATAACAAGGTG